ATGGAATACCTGCTTATAACTACCGCCATTGCCAGGTACAAACAACACAGGAACACCATTAAGCTGCTTAAGATGCTGATCAAAATCAATCTTCTTCCATCCTTCATGATACAAATACAATCCATACTTATTCGACGACAAATTCTTCGGCGACGAAATCGGAATATACATCGGATACATGTAAGTCATAGCACAACCATTGTGAATTGGCTTTAACAAACCGAATAATCCAATTACACTGATTATCAATGTGATTGCGATCAATCCGCCGATTTTGAGCTTCGATTTTGCAGTCTCCATTGCCAGCATTCTCTTGTTCTTGATCAAATCGATTGGAGTTTCAATGCATTTTGCAGCTGAAGATGAGAGATCCGAGTGTTGGATTTGACTTCAAATTGATCGATTATTGTAGTAGAATTGTGATGATCGATTGCGTTGGATTTGATGAAGGAGTTTTGCAGATCAAATGGGAGAGAGAAAGAGAGAGTTGGATGGTGGTTATGGCCTATGGGTATGGCTACTGCAGCTGAATTTTGTTTGAGTTTGAAATTTTTAAAATAAGGTGGCGAAGAAGAGAAAGTGAAAAAAAAAAAAAAAAAAGGGGAAATTGAAGTCAAAAGTCCATTGAATTTGGGTTGATTTTAATATTTACTGGATTAAATCCCGTGCGATGCACAAATATAATAAAATCTTTGTATTACATACGATATTATTAACATAAACAAAACTACAAAAATTAAAATAATATAAACAAAAGAAAATTCATGTCTACAATAAAATTTTGCGAACTTTGTAATTAGATGGAGTAATCACATGTATAAAAGGTTGATATTTGTTTTTCTTAAGATTTTTAAAAGAATAAGGCCCTGTTATTTTGAGCTTCTGGGCAGAGCAGAGCAAAACAGAGCAGATTAAATTTCAGCAGAGCAGAACAGAACAGATTTCAGGATAGCAGAGCAGAGCCGAGCAGATTTCAACATTATTATTAATACTATTATTAATGTTATTATTATTAATGTTGTTGTTGTTGTTATTGTTATTATTATTATTATTATTATTATTATTATTATTATTATTATTATCATTATTAATTATTATCATAATTAATAATAATAATAATTATTATTATTATTAATTATTAAAATTATTATTATTATTATTATTAATTATTAGTATTATTAATTATTAAAATTATTATTATCATTATTAATTATTATTATCATTAATAATTATTAAAATAAATAATAATAATAATTATTATTATTATTAATTATTAATAATATTATTAATTATTATTAAAATTATTATTATTATTATTATTAATTATTAATACTATTATTATTATTATTAATTATTAAAATTATTATTATTATTAATTATTAAAATTATTTTTAATATTAATAATTATTATAATTATTCAAAATAATAAATTATTATCATCAATACAATATTAATTATTATTATTGAATATTAATTATTATCGTTGTTATTATTAATTATTATTTGAAAATTAAGTAGAGCAGAGCAGAGCAGATTTCTTTTGAGCTGAGCAGAGCATATTTGATTTGAGCAGAGCAAAGCAGGGCAGGGCTCAGCAGAGCAGAGCAGAGCAAAGCAGAGCAGCTCTAAAGAACGGGGCCTAAGTATTGAAAAATAAATAGTCTAATGTACTGTATTAAACAACTTTGCAATTAGTATTTAGATTTTTTTATTTTTATTTTTTTTTACAAAAAAAAATGAAAGGAAAAAAAAAAGTTTAGGCGGGAAAATAATGAATAAAAAACTTACACGTGTACAATTTGAAAAAAGTGATGATATCAGCGGTTGTTACTTTAGTAATATTTATGCAATTATTAATTACCCACTCTTATGATTTACAAACTACAAGTAATGCAGAGTGATTTCATACAAAACTAGTCTTCTGGCCGTGCGATGCACTGGTTATTCATATAAAATTGTATTGATAGATAAGTGAAGAAATATCAGTAAGTCACTATAGGGTATAATATGTAATTGGAAACATGATTAAAGAAATTAAAATTTTGGAACTTTAATCAAAAAAGAGAGCTTAAATAAAAGGTGGAAGGGCTAAAATTAAAGAGAGAATAGGAAAAGGTTGAATTAAAGGGGAGAGATAAAGTGTGGATGAAAGATGAATTATAAGTTTAATGAAAGAATTAAAAAAAATGGTGTAATAAAAAATTAATAGTGTAAGATGACACATGGCACTATGGTTAGAGAAGTGTAATAGAATAAATGGGACATGTGTCTTTCTTAGTTTTTAAATACTATGTATAGATGTATAGATGTTCCAAAATACTCCCTTCGTTTTGCTCCATTTCTCCATGTGTGGAATTTTAGGAGAAATTAGAGAAAATAATAAAATATTGAGGTAATAGTATGGATGGAAGAATAAAAAATTGTAAAAAGCGAAAGTAGTGGAGAGAATTGGAGAAGAGAGAATATGAAATTAACAAAATATTATTTATGTTGAGTCCACTAATTTTCTAGATTCTAACACGCGCGATATAGCTAGCCCTTTGAGAAAAATCATTATCAATTTTCTTTATGTTTTATGCCTGTTTGTGTATTATCAAAGATATTTGCATATAAACGATAAATGTGTTGGATGTTGTGCAATATTCTAAACTTTAGTTGAGCTACTTTAAAATAACGTCCACGTAAAGAAACAACATTTCGTTGTCCAGTGATTAATGTTGTTATGTAATTAAACCATAACCTCCATTAATATAAAAAATTCTAAACTTTATTATTCCAATCCTCCTTTTAATTTTTGATTAATTGATAAAATTGCAAAATTAATTACACATGGGGATAAGAAGGTAAATAAATATTTTAAGGGGTATAATAGTTCGTATACTATTCATAAGAGCAATCTCCTACTTTTTATAAGGTATGGATGGATAAGGTATGGATGGATGGATGGATGGATATGGTATGGAGTACATTTTTACAAAGCTTCTGTGTGTATTGTCCACATTAATCAAAATTTGATCTTTCACCAAAAAAGAAAAAAAAAAGCCTTTTACATTATGAAAATTTTGTCTTGAACTACCCTAAAGATAGGTTATTTATAAATAACTACTCGTTTTTTTTATTATTATTATTTGTTAAGAACTACACAGAAGTTAAGAAAAATTTGGGTAACACTGCTTATTAATGTTTTTCATCCAAAAAAACACTAATGGGGCCTACTTTTTCACTTTTCCCACTCAATTAACTCCCCTAATTACCTTCTCTCTTCTCCCTACTTAACTTCCCCTAAACCTAGAAATCAAAACCCCCAAATTTAGACATCCTACCAATTACAATGGCCAATTAGACATCCTATCAAGTACAATGGCCAATTAGTAATTAAAATGCAATTGAATTCAATCTCAAAGTCAAAATTAAATAACCAAACCTAAAACTCAATTGAACCCCTAAACCATAGAAATTAAAACCCCCAAATTTATTTGGACCAATAAACCCTAATCCGAATCACTAATTTACACCTAATTATATTAATTGTGTTCAATTAAAACTTATAAACAAATAAAATAAACAATGAATTAAGAGGAAGGTATGAAACATTAATTGAATAATTGAGAATTTGCATTCAATTGATTATGTTCTCTTGGATTTTTTGAGTCAGAATGGAGGGGAACTTAATTAGGGAGGATACAAAACCACAATTCACAATTAGAGATTTTATAAATATACATATACCAAAAATTAGTTTAGTATTCTTACTCTAAATAAACCGCTAATTGAGTAAAACTACTTGAAATAACATTTCAATAAGAGTAAAATTAACGGTTTTAGTGTGGACCGGCCGTAAAAAAATAACTTGTGTGGATGTATACGATATGTCTGAAATATTGATAAAACTAGCTTAGGCCTCGTGCCATACATGGTAAGTGTAATTTTTTTTTACAAAAATAATTATATATAACAAATAAAATTGATGTTTTAAAGGAATTTCTTTAATATCAGTAATGTGAATCAATTTTATTACAAAGTATTACTTTAATAGCAAAATCTAATATTACTCCGTTTATCAGATAATTTAAAAGGAGTTGGAATAATATTTTTGGTAAATGTGTATGGAAGAATTATGAGCACCAAGTAAAAAGTAATATATTTGTCATAAAGATCATATAAAAGATTTTGAATGATATTATTATTATTATTATTATTATTATTATTATTGTATCGAATATTTAAAAAAAACGATTAAAAAGGGATGGGGTTTTAAAGGGAAAAAACAATATTAGGATGTGACACATATCACTCTCGGTGTCTGTTTTAGTATTAAGTTATTGATTATTGATGATTGAATGATGTGGCATAATTATATAATTTAATTATTTTTTAGCAATTTATATGGAAATCACTCGGTAATATATGACACACTTCTATATTTTTTGTTTCTTTTAATTTGATACTATTGGGTTTTTTTTACCAAATGTCGTTTGAGATTACTTATTTACCAAGTTGTAGCATATGGTTAATTTTCTTTTACCAAATGTCATAGGGTTATATATTTTTGTTTTTTTCTTGTCATTAGATCTCATTTATTTATTTATTTTTATACCGATTTGGTAAATAGATTTTATTTAATATATTAAAAAGGAAAGAAAAGGAATTATGGGGATAGAAGGAGTAATAGGTGTTTTTTTTCTACCTAAAAAATTATTAAAATAAATGTCGAGAAATATCATGTGAGGCGATATAACTTGAGAATAATTAACCAATAACTTAGATAATGATGAACACCGTTCATTTCAATTTCAATGGAAAATTCTAATATAAAGTTTTAATCTTCGACCTTAAATAGACAATGAACAACCTCATTGATATTTCGACAACTAACACAAGACCACTCACACACTTAAAACAAGCTAACATCAACATTGAAATAAAAAACATATAGCTTAGGCTGCAAATATAATTTTCTCTACTATGTAGCTCACTTACATCATAACAAAGGCATACATTTATTCCTCTAATTCACTGGAGCTCTCTTCTACTTCACTGTCATGAAAATCCATATAAGGCAATTCCTCATTTACAACACGTTGCAAAACACCTTGAATATGACGTGACAAAGAAGTATATAGAAGCATCCTCAATGTTATGTATATATTAAATATCTTAACTCCGTATCCAACACCTTGGCAATCAGCATCACTAGCAGAAACCTCAACAATCAACAATTCTAAGGCCCTTGCATTATTCAATAAATACATTAACAAATGCATCGCCTTATGGTCATATTCTAGCCCCTTAAGGCAGATAATTATCTCTTTGACACATTGCAACGAGCACGGAGGTTGGATATCTAAAGGAATTGCTCTCGAGTTGTAGATATTAAACTCAGTGAACACATAATTTCCAATATCTCATCAATTGAGCTCATCCTAATAGTTAGTTTCTCAACATTGGGAGCATGATTAAGAAAACGCAGTAACGTTTTCCAACAAGTATGAGATGTTTTCGTAAATTCAAGATGTCTTAAATTATGAAATATTGGCAATTGAATATCATCATTCAAGCCATTCAAAGAAATTATTATTGTAAAATACATCATAAGAGCCTTAACACCACGAAATGCCCAAAATAGCTCTGTGCCTCCACTCATTTAACCTTGGGAATACGTTAAGCTTGCACTTTGTAACTCTCTTGGTTCGCGTACAAACCTAAACTCCGAGTGACTTACATGTGAAGCTTCAAACACCTTCAAATTAGGGGCATCAATATCTACGTGAATGGTCCCAATTTTCCCCCTCACATTGCGTGTATGAATACACAATGACTTTAATTTTGATGACGAAACAACCACATGAATGTCTCTACCCCCACCCCTTTTATCAAAATCTTCATCAAAATTCCCAGACAATCTTAAATATTCAAGACAAGGGCAAGAATTAAATAGATTAGCCAACAAATTTTCATGATTATCGTTAAGATGACTCATGCTAATAATATTTAGATTAGGAACATTAATTTCATTTGGCAAAGTAATTATATCAAGTTGTATGGCCAAAATGAGAGATACCAATGACTTGCATTGGAAGAGACAAGGTGGTAATGTGGTTGAAATTTTACCATTACTAGTAATATCTCCGAAAAATCGAACCTCAATAGTCTGCACTTGCAGAAAAATTGAATCCACGAGGCGATATCGGTTCCTAGAGTTGTAAGGTAAGTCTCTTGACTTGTGTAGCGATTATATAATGAGTGAGGATAATCATAGTCAGAGACTTGGTAAGGGTGGTCATCGATAAAGAGTACAGAGGTTTTGATTTTAGGGGATAAAAGTTGAGGTAAAACATGATTAATGATAGAAGATGCATTAAAAGCCTTATTAGTTGATTCGTTGAAGCGAAAAGCGGTGATGAAGGTCCAAAGGCGACACCAACTCTTTGATAACACACCGGTAATGACAGTGAATTTGATAGGAAGGAGTGAGAGAATAACAATGAGAATTGAAGTTGGAAGTGAACTTAATCTGTCTTCTTCATCTTGAAGTCCAGAACATTTTTGGTATCTAGAATCCATGGATAGTTGTAATTTGATTTTGTGAGGAAGGAGATTTGGTGGGTTTGCAAGTATGATAAAATGAGCAATTTTTAGGAAAATTTAATTTAGATGTTTGCAAAACAAGACAAATGGATTGGCTTATCAAAATGAACATTGTAATACTTTGGATCATTATATATATAAAATTAAAGGCTATTAATTGAGGAGAATCACATCAGATTTTTCTTTTTCGGTAAAAACTGGCAATAAATCCATAAAAAGTGAATGACACCTCGTCTGAAACAGAGGGGAAAAAATCACTTGAGATCTCCTACATAGATATTGTAAAATAACCGTCAGTCTTTTAGCAAATTGAATTCACATTATTAGGTTGTCTTATTAGTAGGGATGCATGCCATGAGTTTGAATCCTAATTAGGTGAAGCTTTCACACATCCACCTTGCTTACTTTCCACATTATTGTTCGATGTATTATCACATGTATGTCACCCACATTAGTCCACTGGTAATTTGGAAATGAATTAGCGTGGAGCCATGGACTAAGTTATGGTCTGGATAAAGATGGTTATTAAACTACCCAACCAAAATTGGGACGAGATATGTATCAAAGGGATGTGATTCTTATACCTTCATATTGAATGTGGCTAGTAAAAGGGATTTTTCAGATGGGTCATGGGTCATAGTACCTAGCTTTTGTTTCAAAATAGTTGCATCACATCATTTAAATTTAGGCATAAGGACAAATCCAATCCAATCCGAAATAAAATTTATGTTTTAATTTTTAATTCAATTTAATTAGAATTTATTATCAAATCCAATCCGAATTAAAAATTAGTTACGTGGATCTGATTCAAAATTCTAAATAAAAATGCAATGCAATTTTTTAGGGCCTAATGACCCATAATTAAATAATTTTTATATGAAAATGTAATCACAAAAAAAAAAAAAAAAAACAAAAAAAAAACCTGGTTGTAAATAGAATCTCAATGCAAGCCTTGAAAACCTTTTTTTAATACTTGATTTATTTATTTATTTACTTTATTGTGAGTTGTCATTTTTATGAATTTTTAGCAGCTATATCTTTGTGATGAAAAATTTTGAGTTTCACTACCTATTAACTGCAAAGGTTTTCAATTTTCATTTGTGAGTATTATTTCATCTGTTACTAACCTTTTTGCGAAACATCCCTGGTCTGAAAGTAAAAGTATAAAACTTTTGGCGGAATTGGATTTGATAAAAGCTATGCTATATTGCTATCATTCTCTAAAATGTGGGCCATGGGCAGTGGGCATCCCTCTTTATCTTACCGTGTAAAAAAGATTCTATCATTCCCTAAAAAAAATAATACAGTGATACGTACTTTCTCCGTTCTTTTTTACTTGACCCGCTTTGACTTTTACACTATTCACCACCCCTCCTTTGACCGTGTTTTGTGAATAATATGTAAGGAAAAACATAGTTATGTTGGATCATTTTTAATTCGTCTCAATAAGTACTATCATAATATATAACTTTTATATTTTTTAATTATGGAGAATTAAAGTTATTAACCGTTAAAATTTTAGATTGACAAACATGATAAAAAAAAAACAGGTCAAGTAAAAAAGAACAAAGAAAGTAGTACGGAGTAATAATAAAAATTGTTGTCATAAAGAAAAAAGAAAAAAGATATAGAACCCTCTAAATTTTAAAAACTTCCTAATTCCCGGCAAAACCCCCAAATTAGCTCAAACTTTCTTCAAATCCAACAAACGCCTGTTTAAGGTTTAAGGTGATTTTCACTCAAATTTTCAATCAAATTAAATCTACGCTACATTGCTAATTTCATTATTCTGCGATCCTAAATCTTCGACTGCGCTTATTAGGGTTTCAGAAAATCGTCGAAAAATGGTGGAAGGAATGGATACCATCGTTGTGACAGTGAGTGGATACTATGGAACTGAGCGAACGATGCTGATAAAGTTGATATCTCTCGCCGGTGCCAATTATGTCGGTAGAATGTCACAATCTACGACGCATTTGGTCAGTAATTCTTTTCTTTTATTGCCCTAATTTGGTATAGAATTTTGGGTTTTAGCTTCAATTTGGCTGATTTTGAACCAATCTTGGTCGGAAATTCGTATTGGTTTTGGAATTATGAGGTTATCTGTGTTTCAATTGTAATTTAGGGTGAATTTGGGGTTGCTACATGTCCTGTAAAATTAAAAGGATTTTTCAGCTGAAAGTTGCATTTAAAACGAGGAAAATGTAAACTCTGTAGTAGAAATTTAGATTTTAGGGTGGTTTATGTATAACTGACAAGAATGATCTACAAAGTATTAGCAATTTGCTGTTAGCTAGTCACTCCTTTCCACGGAAAGCCATACCAGCATATTCCCGGATTATCGGGTGTAACTGTGTAAGAGTTTGTGGGTGGAATTTGTAGGGAGCAGTGGATATATGGAAGCATGTCAAGACCGTGTCGGAATTATTGATGTAGGCTTTTGAGGTCCAGGCGTCCAGCAGCTAATTTGTGACAAATACTTTCTATATGTGAAGGAAGATATGTTGTATAGTATGCTTATAATTACATTTTATAAGGGCGCTCTGTGACTTTACAAAGAAAGCTACTATGTCACTTGCTCTATTAGACAGAATTATGTTTAGCTATTTGTTCACTTTTTTTCTACCCTTTCAAGTTATTCTTTAATTTATTTTGTTCTCATAATATGCCAATTTAAAAAACTCTCTTTTTGGATAGATTTGTTGGAAGTTTAAAGGGAAGAAGTATGAATATGCGAAGAAATTTGGGACTCAGATTATCAATCATCGGTGGCTTGAAGACTGCATTAAGGAAGGGAAGTGTGTTGCTGAGTTTCCCTATACACTGCGTAGGTAAGAAAAAGTTCCGGCATCTTCTCTGGTTCGTTTGCTTTAAGATGATCAGGCTGTGGAAGTATTTTATATATTTCTTCTTGTTGGCTACTTGAGAAGCAACACATCATTTAGTGCTTAGTTGATGCTTGATTAATCTGACGATTCAGCTTGCAATTTGTGAAGAGAAGAGGTCCTCAATCATCATAACATTCACAAGCGAACCATCAAACATGTATAGATTGAAGAGAAGGGATAAGCTTTTGACTGTATAAATTTCATACAAAGCTATTGTTCTCTTCTTCACTTCGATTTTCGAAAAAGCTTGAATGGCTGCATTAGCATTGTCAGTCTTTTTATACTGTCCCACCATTACATGGTTATCAACTAGTCTGTTTTGTTATTTGCAGTGGACAAGAAATAGGTTTCAAACTCCAGAGCCTTCCAGTTGTCACGGAAACCACAGGCATGCTATTTGAGAATACTGCTCTTTCGAACAAGCCAAACATACGTGATTGCCTCGATGATGTAATAGATCTGGATTCTGATGAAATTGAGAACGATGATTGGGATGACGATTTGTTGCTAGATGAGGTAATAGAATCATGTCACTGAAGAATATTGTTAATGTAGCCTGAGGATTGAATTATAGGGGAATTTGTTTTTGGCGATGCGGTGTCGCACATTTGCACCTGATCCTGAGAGATTTTGCTTTGATCCCTCAGTGCTAGTGATTCTTATGCATTTTACCAATGCTATCTCAAATTGAACTGGCAGCATTTATCTGTTTGCAGTTTGTACTACCAATCCTTTTAACTAACTATTGTGTATTTTTTTTGTTTTTATTTGATCTATTGTAGAATTCATTTCCAAAACCAGGAAGCAGAAAAGCTGCTCGACAATTGCCTAAGAGAAAATTGGATAAAGAATTTTTTAGAGAAGACAGACAATCAAAGGCAAATACTAGAAGGTCTATTCGTGAACCCCTGATGCCTACAGTCAATGGTCTTCAGGTGATTAGGATCATAACTGGAGCTTGAACTCTTCTTTAAATAATTATATTCCCAATCTAAACCAGAGCAGAACTTAAATCTAGCTACCCTTTGTAATTATGAATCTTCAGACTTCAGAAATCAGAAGTAACAAGAAACTGGTATCATATTATGGCAGAATATTTTCAAATGACTGACTCTTACCTTTCTTCTTGATCTTTCAGTGTGAAGAATCAGATTACTCACGCCAATGCTCATTTAAGCAGAGGAGTGGTGATGATACAAGCAATTTGCTATATATTGCAAAATCTTCTCATAGAAGCCGGCGACTTGTGAAGAAGAATGCTAAAAGTTCGGTCATTGAGATAGCTACTATTGATGCTGAACAAAGCAGAACACATGCAGATGTCAATGAGCTCCATGTTGCTTCAAGCCCGACTAACGAGTCTGATGACTTGACCACGGAGATTGAAGCAAGCATTAGCAGAAGGTTCGATACTGCATCTTCTGTACAAGGAAGCGAAGATGAAATCAACATTATGAATGATTTAGGGCTTCTTTCAGACACAAGCTTGCACAATGATGATACATCAAATGTCAAGGGGAGAAACGTGGAAAAAAGTAGTCTTGATGTACAAAATTTAAACGGGGATAAACTTGGAAGAGATCAAACAACAGTCAGTGCAGCAGTAGAGCTATCTTGTGTCATATGCTGGACAGAATTTAGCTCACTAAGAGGAGTTTTGCCATGTGGACATCGCTTCTGTTTCTTATGCATCCAGAACTGGGCTGATCGCATGGTATGCATAACTGATTGTTAATTTGCTTTTGAATTAGTGAACTTGGGAATGGTGCATGTCCTTGTTCATATGATTCATATTTCTGTATCTAATTAGAAAAGTCTATTGACCAACTAATCAACCATAATCATATTTAAGGCAAATTAGCTTCAGGGAGTACTTGGACAATTATCAGAACTAGATCACTACTACAAGTGCTGTTTTTGTGCAGTTGTTTAATAAACAACTTATCTGTATACAGATTTCAAACAAGAAGGAACCTACATGCCCTTTATGCAAGGCCAGTTTTCTCAACATTACAAGTCTCAATGCTGCAGCCTCTCTGGATCAGAAAATCTACTCACAGACCATACCATGTGCATCATTATCACAAG